CACCACTATATTACAATCATTTTAAGTGCGAGAAAACTCACATCACCTCGTAAATTCATTAACCATTTCTTAAGGTTGAATACATTATTTACATAAAAGTAAATATATTTGGGGACGGTGTTACATCTTCAAACCCTATTGTTTCACAATCATTAAGAAGACAGAAAATGTTAACTTCATTGAAATTTTGTGTTACCTCACATATCTCCTCCAAGTTTCTAAAGTGATGTGTTCTTTCACTTGAAATGTCGTCACTTGATGATGAACTTGGGATTTTTTCAGTTGATGGTGAATGCAGTGGAGATATTGGTTTTTGAACATCATGCTCCTCTTATAGGATTTGTTCTTCATATTGATTGCATGACAAGAAATTGTAGTATTGATCTTCTTGGGCATCCCAATCCTGTGTAAGTTGCCGCTTCATCAAAGTGAACATCTTGACTCACCACAATCTTTTTCATGATTGGATTATAGAGTTTCTATCCCTTGGAGTGTTTGGCATAGCCAATGAATACTGTCTTTGTCATCAAGTTTGAAACATTTTTCAGGCGGTAGATGCACATAAGCAACACTCTAAAAAACTTGCAAATGTGAGACATTTGGTTTACTCACCTTCCATGCTTCTTGAGGAGTCTTATGGGCAACACTTTTGGTGGGGCACTGATTTGAAATACACAATCAGTCGCTTATGTCCAAAATTCTTTTGGCATGCTTCTAGCTATCTCCATAAGTGTTCTATTTTTCTTTTCACAACTCCATTAATGAGCGATGAATTCCATTATTTTCACAAATTCTTTGAATTCATTTGAAATGAATTAACCTCCTCAATCAGATCTCATTTATTTAATATCTCGATCAATTTCTTTTTCAACTAGAGCTTTGAATCTTTTACAAAAATGAAATACCTCCACTTTTTCTTTTAGAAAATAGATCCAAGTTTTTTCAAGAGTAATGATCAATGAAGAGAATGAAATAATTTTCTCTTTCCACAAGAACTCAATTTTATGGGTCCACAAACATCGGTATGTATGTGTTCTAAATGCTCTCTAGCTGTGGACGAGGATTCCTTTGGAGAACCTTTTCCACAATGTTTTCCTAATAGACATATTTCACATAATTGATCCAAGTGTTTTATTAAGGGCAATCCATTCACCATTTCTGTTTTAGACGACAAATTTAAGCCACCAAAATTAAGATGTCCAAACCTCAAGGGGCATAACCAAGCATTGTCTTTTTGATCTCCCACAAGAACATCCGGTTATTTGTCATAGGCACTCAGATAATCAACCTTCCTTGACTTTTAAGAGAAAGACTACGATTTTCTAGATGAATATCATATATCCTTTCTCTAGAAGTTGTCCCAAACTTAAAATATTGTTCTCTAAAAGCTCATGTGGTGACTATGTTTTTGAGCTTGTCAGGCTTATTAACAAACACTTTCACTAAACATGTAAGTTTTGATTTCACGCGTTACAATGTGTAATAATCAAAATAAATAAGGTTGAAGTTCCTTTATTGGCTGGATTGACTAATGTTATTTTTAGCTATTTTTCATATATTTTTTCTTCATATTATTAATGAAATGTAATGTTAGCCGACCCCAAAATGTTTTGAGATATAATAAGGTTTGGATGTTGTTGTTGTTAATAAAATTATTTTAAATATAATTTTTTCATAATTGAGTAGAATCAGACAATCCAGCCACTTCAGCCAGCACTTCCAAAATTTCAACGGAATCAACAGATTCAACCAATTTCCGTGTTACCAAATGGAATCTAAACTTGGAACATAATAGACATTACAAATAAACTGGCTAATTAGGTTGTTACCTTTTCCTTCAACTGAAACATTCGATTCATCTCCAAAAAAAGACTTTTCGAGTAGTTTGCTCGAATCAGGTGAACATTGTCTTATCACCAATCATATGATTGCTTGCCCCCGTATCAAGAACCTATAAACTCTTTTTTTATTACCCCATGGGGGTCGGGGGAGGGGGCTGGGGAAGCCTGGGGGTAAACAAGGCTGAAACTCCCTCCGTGGAGTTTTGAACCCACTTCCTCAAACTCTTCTTTCTCTTCTTCTTTTAATTCACAAGATTAGTTTCTTCTTGCACACTATTAGTCTTTCTACATTCAAAAGCATTGTGACCATATTTGTTACAATTATAACACTTAACTTGAGATTTTTCATATCTTTGGTAAGGGCCTTTTCCATGATCTTTTGCTACCTTATACGTTAATCTTGTCTCATCTTGAATATGTTGGTGATTTTCACCTCTTTCAGCTTGATATATACGACCAGATGAAGTAAAGTGAGGGTGTTTTAGATTTAGATGAGTGAGAATTAATCTGTAAATGTAGATAGTTAGAATGGGTAATGTCAAGTAGTGTAAGAGTACATTTTTCATTTTATTCCATTTCCTTTACTTAAAACAAATAGTGGAAAATCAGTTTGGAACATAAAAAAAGAAAATTTTACAAATTGAATTAGGATGGCTGTAATCTTTTTCAAACTCGACTTGTATGATTTAATTTAATAAAACCCATACCGTAGTTTATAAGGATATAAATTTTAATTAATAGTTGTTAAGACCTGAACTTTCATCCTAAACAGTCAATATGATAAGAGTAGTCCAAGATCTTAATATAGTGTTTTATTGTTTTATAGCAATCATGGAACAAATAGTTTAACATGCTCACTCAGCCCAAACCGAGCCGAACAGTATCGTGGTGTATAAATGGGTCAAAAAACCTTAACAAGCCACCCTTAATCACGGGTGATAACTAAACATTCAAACCACAACCAGACTTGGCTCTGATACCATGTTAAGACCCTAGATTTCATCCTAAAAGATCAATCTGATAGGAGGGGTATCGCGAAATCTTAATATAGTGTTTTATAGTTTTACAGCAATCTAATGTGAGACAAATTCTTTAACAATAATAATTTAAATATTGCAAGTGAGAATCCAACTTCATCATTATTCAATTGACATAAAATCACAACGTGAACTTCTTTTAAAACAGAATAATATTACTATTGAACATGTTATTTCTTTTTGTAGGAGCTTTTAAAAGTGATGCATATATTACGTGATTAAATGTTGTGTGAGGATATTACAAATTTGTTACATCAATTTCCTTTCATACCATAGTCTACACATTGTCTTTAGGATGGACAATGGAGATGGACAATGGGGTTGATCTCGAATATGTTGTCAAATATACAAACATCATTCTGATTTGTCAATTTTGCAGAGACGTGCATTTCTCACTGTACATACGATGATGACTTCTCAAGCATCAATAATGGCAAATACGGAGGAGGTGGATCCACCTCCACCTTCTCTTTATTACAACGGATAGATTTTCAACAGACCCATGGAGCAAACATGTATGATATGCTTATGTCGTTGCACCATGTAGGTGTATACTCTAAAACTCACTACGATCTTTACATTCAAAATACTAATGAGTCAGAGTTGGGGATGCGATACTGTATAGACTATGGTGTTGGCTATGAACTGCCAGACGACCCAAATGACTTAGCGGGTTTTTATGAGCAAGTACAAAGAATAATTCTGGAGTGGCCGCTGTTGGACGATGTAACAATTGGGGAGAATTATTCGTCTCAATCGCCCAAGAGAATTATTCGTCTCTTGGGAGAATTATTTGTCTCATATTGTCGCACCACTTTTACCCCTATACAAGTCCTCCCCAACTGTTCAGGGGCACACCCGTATCCCATGCAATTAATCTTACTAGCTAGTGAGTTTCTACAATCAATAGAGATATCCCTGTATGGGAATAGCTCAACTCTTACGGAAGCAGTTCTGGTCATCAAGGATACATGGAAATACCCCTTGACAAGCTTTACTTTTGTTAAGTGACAACCATCCAAGAATGGTGGTAGTTAAGGGGTGCCTGGAAATATCTTGATAATTTTTTTTAACCAACATATTCAAGGAGGCCGGAGAGCTAGAACTATTCACATGCAGGAGAAAGAACATAATATTGAAATATGAGGCTTCACATGGATCATTATATTCATTAGAATCCATGACTTCAATTCGAAATGTTTCTTATTTTTAGGGAGTTTCGTGTTACTCTTTGCTATGATCTAATGCATTTTATTCCGAAATACATTTAGGGTTGTAAAATTGGTTTTTTATCACTACGTGTTTGTAAAATTTCATAATATTGCATAACAGTCAAGCACAATGTTTAGATTGCACCAGCAGGCTAGCGGACTGCTAGCCCGCATCCCTGCATCCCAACAACCCCCAACTACAACTGCGTAGCATGCTCTTGTCGGGGGTTGACCCCGTGATTTGCTCTGATACCTATTGTAAGGATCAAGCGCTTATGAGTACGCTAAAAGCTATAGCTAGTAGCGAAGGTACAATTTTATTTCCTTATACTTGCATAGCAGTCAAGTATCATGTTTCGATTGCACCGGCAGGCTGACTGACTTGTTGGCCTGCATCCTCGCGGTCCAACATTTCTCGTTTCTGAAAAATGAAAGTGATTACGGAGTATCACTTACTTGTCTTTTATTTTTCTACTTCTTTATTATTTTGTTTTAACTATTTGATCTTTAATCAAGCATTCATTTAAAATAAGTTCTTTTACATGTGGGAGAAACCCTAATGCACGATGCGGCGACCGCTGGTCATTGGTTGCGCTTGATTGGACTGTCCGAAACGAAAGTAGACAGTCAGAATTGAAGCTGGTTTGGTCTTTTCTTGGGACCGGACATGTTTCTTTGTTTTCCCCAGATTTTCTCTTTCCCCCTGTTTACCGAGAAATCACTACTAGAATAATGGCTATTTGCTGCGGTCATTTTTACCTATTTGCTGCAGTTTTGAACCGCAGCAATTGGCAGCGCAGCAAATAGTAGGAAAAAGTATTTTCTGCGGTTCAGAACCGCAACAAATAGTTTTTTTTTTTTTAAAAAAATGAATTTTAACTTATTTTTACAAAATAAAAAAACAATCCAAGTATCTCACCAACACAAATCAATCATAATTTCAAGAAGAATTAAATGATAAATCACCAAAATTCATAATAAATACAATACAAATTACCATCTCTTTGTAAGCTTATCGTCACTAAAAGCTTACAAAAATTATTACACAAATACATGGCCAAAGGACTGCGAATTCAATCAAAACAAAATGATAACATACAAACATCATTGTGTACTATCTCCTCCACTGTCTTCGACACCGGGTTATCACTTAGAGACATCAAGCTTGCCACTTCAAACGCCAAAATTCCAACTTGACACTTTTCGGGGTTACCTTTATGCTTCCTTGCTGGTTTCCATAGACTACGAAACCATGACTCAGAAACTGTGTTTTATCAAACAAAAGTTGGAGAGTTATATTATAAAGAAGCAGTCAATCCCATTAGCAACTTAAGAGCCAGAAAAGCTGAAATAATAAAGATAGCTCAGCTCTTAATAAGCAGCAAATGAACTGGACAGAATCTGAAATCATTATATGTTGCCTTGCTAAATTATGGATTATATCTACACAGCTCTTAGTAAAGATAATGCTAACCACAGTTAAGTAAGAAAAGAAGTTTAATATGAGGAGATGGAAATATGCAATCACCAATGATTTTGAAATGCCCTCACACACGATTCCCCTACAAAAATCTTTTCATTTTTTTTATTTTCTTAACCGATGTCCCAAGGGCTGTGGTCAGAATTTCCATATCCCATGTGCATATATTCCCAGGAACTTATCCAAATCGAGAACATAGTTCCAGATTAATCAAAGCTGCATAATCACTTTTGCTCATTTATATTGTTACTTTGTTTTATAAAAAGGGAAAATCATTCCCACAGAAGTAATTATGACGAAACCACATAATACAAGTAATGGTAAGAAATATAAAAAAATTCAAAATAATACAAGCATTTGTTGTGGCTCCCCCTCACATAAAGCTAATCATTTTGCTCAAGTATAACAACTTGCCAGCTACATTTTCAGTTTAAACAATCTTTTTGTGTAAGTTGTAATGAGTAAAATGACGTGCACTTTGTCACGGTGCGTCAAAATAAATTCAATACTGGCACTTATACGTAGTATAGATGAAGTAGAGTTCGTATCCACAGGGAAAGGAATAACTCTCTTTTTATGAACTAGTAAATAAAGGGGGGTTTTGATTGAGTGATTTAATTAAAATTAAACACGGAGATGAACGAGTTATATGTGATTTAATTCAAAGATAAAAAGGACTTGGCATTGCTACTTTCCACTTGTTGATATATTTAAGTCGATCATTGTTATATCTATAACGTATCCCCTCTCGAATACTCAATCGAGGAGTATATCCAATTCATCGAGGGTAGTTATTAACAACGACCGTTCATTAATAACCCTTACTATTAGTCAAGTATAGAACACCGCCATATACCGACTTGATAGTAGCATTTAATCTCTCAACTCCTTGATGAAATCAATTGAGATTGATAACCTCAACACAACGGTTTCGGTTTAACAAACAAAATTAGTCCCTCTTAAGTTTATTAACCACGACCGTGCATTAATAAACCGAAGTTACTTACTTGTGAAACCATCAACGATTAACCATCGGTTCGTTGATCGTTTCTAGTAGTAATTAATGTTGAGAGTTAACTAATTGTCATCTTAGCAACACTCCCCAACATTAACATAGAGATAGATTAAGGGAAGAATTAATATTCAAGGAAGAAGATTAAATATGAATAATCCTACTATAACTAATGTCAAGATGTTATCTAATTGTCATCTTAGTAACACTCCCCAACATTAATATATAGAGGAAGAAAATAAATACTACTATAACTAATGTTGAGATGTTAACTAATTGTCATCTTAGCAACACTCCCCAACATTAATATATAGATAGATTAAGAGAATAATTAATATTCAAGGGAAGAAGTTAAGAAAATAACTCACAACTTTAATAATCAACAAGCTTCAAGAGCAACACCAAGAAATGGAAGTTTAGCTCCTCATTTGGAGACTAAACATGCTATAAAAATATAAAAGAAATACTATTCTAAGCTGAGCGTAAGAGAGTATATGAATTGGTGAATAAATGGGAAGGAAATGAGGTGTATTTATAGGTGTTTGGAGCTGCCAGGGCCATTTACCCGACCGGGTTTTTGAGAAACCCGACCGGGTAAAAGGCATATCTTTGCCAAATCTTCACCTGCACGTTCAATTGCCCCCAAATCAGATATTATTTTCGGATCAAGTCAATACCGGATCGGGTAAATGCTTTACCCGACCGAGTAAATGACTATTTTTCCAAATTTTCACTTGATCTTGTTCTCTTGCACTTTCCTTGAGCTTTCCAAGGATCCTTTTGATGATCTTTACCTAGTTAAAGCTCAGAATAATCCTAATCTAAACAAATTACAAACAAAATAGGAAAAAAAAGTATTACACCAAAAGTGTGTAATTTCCCAAACAACAACAAATAAAACTAGTTAAAATTACACACATAAACCATAACAATTCTATACTATCATATAGCAATCCCTAAACTCTCAGATACTGCCCTATTTGATGCGATAACAATCATAACATCCACATCATTTTTCTTGAAAGAAGAAAAAGAATAGATGAAACATAGAAGAGTGCTAAGGCACCCTAGAATTTTATCAAAACTGAATTTGCAAACCTTATTTTTGAAAGACTTTGTTTCCCGCTCTATTGATGTCAGACTGCTTGTCGTTTGTTCTTCTGTAAGGTCAAGCATTGGGTTAGCTTGACTTGACTCTAGTTTTAAACAGGTTCGAGCCTCTGAGATCAAAGTTTTGATTATTCATAAAAACTGTACGGGGTAAAATAATGAACATACTACTCCTACAGGAGTACTGGGTACAAGAAACATAATGCAAAATTACCTAAATATGGAAATTTGAGAGTTTCTTCTCTGAATCCATCTTCAGAACTTCTTCTGTTAGATTTATATCAATTGTGTTCTCTAATGCTTCACGATACCATAACCAAAAAACTAATTTAACTCACACACGCATTAAAATTTTAAAACTTATATAAATGAAAAGACAGAGTGATTGTCAACATCATCATCACCTTGTACCTTAATCTCAACTATGTCAGGGTCGTTGAGATGAGGTTTATGGTGTCAATTAATTAGTATAGCAGCAAACCTTGATTGTTTATGGTTCTCCACTGTCTTTGGTTCTCCACGAAAGGTGATAGCTAGCTATGGAGGCAGAGAGAACCTGAGGAAGGCAATGGTATGGCATCTTGGATTGATCTTTGATTTAATTGGGTCACTCATGAACATGTTTGTGAAAAGTAGTTCATGATTGAACACGTACCCTGTCAAGTGTCAAAAAAACATTTTAGAATGGACAGTTGTACATGAATGTTGTCTAATGCTTAAGAATTTGGAGTCTATTGAACAATTGTAATATATGCTAATACATTTGCACACTGTGACTCCAACAAAGAGATCACTTTTATAAACATACATTTTGATTAATATGTATACAACATTTCATCATGTAATATATATATATATATATATATATAATATATTTCCCCAACTTTTCATTCAATGTTCAATTTATTTCAAACAATAAATATAAAAAAGAACAATAAACTCAATTCTTTCATTCAATACACAATATGGAGAAAAAGCATTAAAAATTTAAGTTAATAATAACTAACCTTGATAAAAAGCAACAATGAAGTGTAAAGAAGATAGAAGTTGGAGCCAATGAAGTCGCGAGATTCTGCTGGACGTCGGCATGGGTGAGGAGATAGGCGAGGAGCTGCTGGCCGTTGGCGAGAATCTGCAGCGGCGAGGAACTGCTGGCCGTCGGCGAGAATCTGCAGCGGCGAGGAGCTGGCCGTCGGCGTCTGCAGCAACGTTGGTGATGAGCTGGACTTCGGCGACCAGCAGGACTTCCGCGATGAGCTGGCCGTCGGCGAGGTTCGGCCCCAAGGTCTGATAGGGGGGCTGGGGTTTGGGGAGGGTTTGCTCTAACCGATTGAAGGATAAGATGAGAAATCTAAGATATTTAGGCTATGTTTCCGTTTGCGCTTTTCAGAAGTGATTTTTTTAATAGATTATTGTAAAAGTGATTTTTAGTAAAAGTTGATAGTGTTTTGAAATAGGAGTGATTTTAATTGAAAGGTAAAAGTTGAAGTGTTTGATAAAAAAGTGATTTTTGATGTAATATATTATTAAAATACAAATATACCCCCAACTCAAATAATGAACCCAAAAATCAATGAAAGGGTCGGAACTCTACATCTCTACCCACCTGCACCATCTCCTTTACCTTTTGGCTTCTTTCCCCCATTTGCTTCTATTACAGGGTGCGATGGTACGTTTTTTATACTCGTATATACTTCTATATACACACAAGGATTGAAACAAGACTAGGGCCAAGATTAGGGCACTGTGTGACTGCTGCATCGCCAAGATTAGGGCCCTGGCTGGTGGCCATGTCGAGGATGGTGATAGATGGCCACGAAGCCGACGAAGATGGAGGCGACTGGCGGATGGCGAGTCGCCGGCGTGGCGACGGTGCGGATGGTCGTCTTTGCAAGCCAAGCTCGTAAGGGGTTTTATAGAACAGATGAATAACTGATTGGGGTGGGTATTTTGGGGTGTATGGAACTAAATCATAAGGGGTCGTCTCAGAAGCAGATAAAAGCATCATTGAGCTGCTTTTAGCTTTTGGTCTAAAAGCACTTAAATTTAAGCAAAAGCTTCTCAATGCAAACACCATTTTCAGCTTCTATGAAGCTAAAACCAATAAAAGTGCTTTTTTAAGCTCCCGCAAACATAGCCTTAGTTGGCTTATTTGCTGCGCTTCGACTTCTGACCGCAGCGAATAGTAGAAAATTTCAATGTATTTGCTGCAGTTATGCCCTACCCGAAGCAAAAAAGTAAAAAAGAAATTAAAATTCGAAATATTTTAGACTATTTGCTGCAGTTCCTCTATGACCGCAGCTGATGGATTATATGGACTCCGACCCCCCGGTATGCCGACTACTAGGCCTGGACAGCGGCCCACACACGTTTAACAGATATCATTAATATTATTGTACATTATTATTATTATTCAGATGTTCTAGATTAGCTTTTTATACTATCAGTCCATTTATGTAACCGAGTCTGTCAGGCCCATATTAGAGACCCAGACCCGGATTTTCCCTATATATACTCCTTTTAGGAGGCTTGTAACTCATATAACAAATATTCATTCTATACACATTTTCTTCTTCTTCTCCATTACTCCTTTTGATTCTTGTTGAATCTCCTGTTTATACAATATGGGTATCAATTATCCAACAATGGTGCTCTCGTTGAGAGGTTGAACACAATCAAGTGAGAAAACCTCCCCAATTAACCAAAAACTCTACCAAAATCACAAAAAAAAACATCCAAAATTCATCCCGAATACAGAAAATAAGCCAAAATCAGTTCCCAAACCAAAACAAAACAAAAAACTGAAAATTTTCAGAAGTGGAGCTTTTTTATCAGATCTGTACCCTCTTGCTAGTGGAGTTGGTCAGCCGGAGCAGCAGGAGCATCGCAGGTCATCCGCTTGCTCTCCCATCTAGCTGCTTGCAGCTCGTTTCCGCCATTAATGGCCTGCTGAAGCTCCCGGGCGTAGCAATACAGACCTCCGAACCAAAAACACGACCGGAATCTGTAGACCACCCGGAAGAGACGCCGCTTCTGTCCGCCGATCTGAACAGGAACGTTTCCACATCTCGTTGCTGCTCCAGGTTCGCCGCCTTTTTTACATCTCGCCGCCGCAGAACCGTCACTTGCAGTGTCCGCCATTAATGGCACTGGGAGGCTCTGCTTCTCGAGCTAGAGGCAAACCTGAGGTGGGCGTGGGCCGTTGCTGCCAGGAAATCGAACTCCCTCCGTTGAACACAACCTAAGGAGCCAACCTGCCACGCTTCCAAGCGAATTCATTTGATATGTGCTACTCGTTGAAATCGTAGCTTAGGAGCGATGCAGAACGGGCTAAGCCAAGAACGAGTTCTACCACCTACATCGCATCACCACCAACTTGAGCTCCGCAGCGAGGAGGTCTCTCAGCCGCGACAGAGACTTCTTCCGCCGTATAGGACGGCGATGGCCGTGGTAGGAAGGATCCGTCTGGGCCTTACCTCCCTGGACGGAAGCAACGACTCTGCCTCTTCCTCTCTCCAGACCAAACGTGAGCTAGGGAAGGGGATGAAAATGTGCCCGGTCCGGTCAACGTCTACCTCAACGCAGCTCCAACAGCGACTCGGCCTTTCTTCCTGCTGACGACGACTGTAGGCGGCTGGCGACGAGGAGATAGCTGCTCTTTCCTTTCCAGACCTGATGTTAGGTGTGGGAAATGGACGCGGACCACATATCATCGAAGATTTGCCGACATCGTTTGTGGAAGGACTTGCGAGCACATGTGATGTTAGCTATCAATAACTTTGCCGACATCGATAACCTGCTAGCACATGGACGGTCAACTACTCCGTATTAAAGCTCCGCTGGGAAAATAAGGGGAAGCAATGGGCTAAGATTACGTGGAGCCAGAGATTGAGCCTCAAATCTCTTGATGGGCCGCTATTTTCGGGCCAGGACTGCTTCAGCCCAAAAATTGATACTAACTAATGTGAATGGGCTTAATTTCAGCAGCACATTTTAGCCCAAAGAGTCTGAATATTTCAGCCCACTTCAAAAAGATAAGTACTCTTTAGTTTTCATATTATTTATTTTTATTTAAATTAATTTTTTGTCGGGCGAGCATCACACTATCACGCACTTATGATCAAATACCTAGTAGAGTGTGGCTTGAGACCCATCACTAGGATTTAAAGCCATGACTCCTCAGGCACAAAGCCCTGTCTCCTCAGGCACAAAGCCCCGACCAAGTCGGGCATGAAGACAAAACCCCGACCAAGTCGGGTACGAAGACCGGTCTTAGTCATTCCTCGAGTGACGACCGTTGCTTATGAATGGCTCACACATCCATTCTACTAAGTATTTTATCATTACATTAACAATTCACATCTCCACTTGTTTCAAGTGACGAACTCCCGATCGGGAACATAAATCCCAAGAAAATTTTTTTATATGCATGATAAATGTGTAGGTACGAAGATGACTTTACTCATTTTCACCTCGTCTCCACTCGCCTCAAAGAGTGGGGACTGGGGGACTGAGGGGTCAGAGTTTCTAGATGAGCAGAAAATATCACGCAAGAGCAGGAACGAGAGCTGAGTCAGTTGAGGAGGAGCTGAGCTAGATTGATTATGCCGGAGGGGATTTACCTTCCTTGTTTCATGTTGGGGGCGCTAGGTGTACTCTTTTTCCCTTTATTAGGATTTTTTCTCACTGGGTTTTTCCTAGTAAAGGTTTTTAACGAGGCACCTCCCCATAATGGACAAGGGTGGTGGTCCCCCGGCCGAAGAGGAAGAACGTTGCAGATACAGTTTGGACTACTCCCTTTCGCCTCGAGTACTCTTGACTCAGGGAGTGGGGGACTCCTGATGGATTATATGGACTCCGACCCCCCGGTATGCCGACTACTAGGCCTGGACAGCGGCCCACACACGTTTAACAGATATCATTAATATTATTGTACATTATTATTATTATTCAGATGTTCTAGATTAGCTTTTTATACTATCAGTCCATTTATGTAACCGAGTCTGTCAGGCCCATATTAGAGGCCCAGACCCGGATTTTCCCTATATATACTCCTTTTAGGAGGCTTGTAACTCATATAACAAATATTCATTCTATACACATTTTCTTCTTCTTCTCCATTACTCCTTTTGATTCTTGTTCAATCTCCTGTTTATACAATATGGGTATCAATTATCCAACAGCAGCAAAAAGTATCAAGTTTTCCAATTTTTTGCTGTGGTCGTAGAAGAACCGAAGCAAATACCTACTAATTTTGCTTATTTGCTGCGCTTTAACTAAGAACCGCGGCAATTAGGTAGCAGCAAATAAGGAAAATTCTAGTAGTGAATTGTGCGCATGCGTCGTTGTTTGGTATTTTAAATTACACCACTTTGTTTAAAGCTTTGTTGTAATACATACATCAGTCATGGTTCCCTTTGTATGGAAGGGTTTGTTTCTTCATTCGTCAATTAGTTAGTGCAGGGCTTTGGTTTGTTCCTCTTCGGTTGAGTTTGGATTGATCTTTTCCGGCCGCCGATTCAATTTGTGCCAAGCTCGGTCAAATTTTTCTTGCTTCCGGTTTTTCCTTTTTGAGGGCACAAAGATTCCAGTGTTGGGGATGTCACTCAGAAGTTCTCAGGGGGTGGAAGCTTGATTGATTTTGCCGTATTGCCAGTCCGCCCCCCTCCCGAACTGCCGTCGTGTAGAGATCGTGTGATTAGGGTTTGGAAGATACCGTTTCAAGTTTGGATTTGGACACACACGGTTCTACCCCAGCTGATACAGAATCAAGATCCTCGGATCGTGATTATGAGGAGACAACTTTATTTTAATTTTCTTGCCCTTATTTTTAATTTTCATTTCAAACTGAATGCTATTTTGATTGTTTTCTCTATTTCTACTAACAGAAATCTAGACTTTAGGTTGGGTGATAGGTGTATTGCTTTTGTCATTAGCTCAGTTAAGCCCATTATAGGATCATTGAGTCATATTATTGCTTTTTTTTTTGGAGTGATAGATTACGAGTCTGGTTCGATGGAAGACGATAAGAAAGAAACTTTTTGCTTTTTGATAATGACACTTGGACCGCCTTTTCTGCCCCTGCCTCAGCCACTGTTGCCTCGTCCGGTCACCCCTTCCCTTCCATAGGCCGCCACTGCCCGAACACCATCCTCCCTCTTAGCCCCCACACCATCGTCACTGCGGCCTTCCCCCACACCACTGTCACTGCTCGTCCTTCTCACCACAGTCACTGCACCACCACCAACCCCCTCCAACCTTCCCAGCCCCCAACGGACCTCTGTCGCTATGACCCAATTGCAACGTCAATCACCCAACGCT